AAAAGAATAAAATATCTATTTTATTTACTAGGACAGGACAAAAGAAACTCTTGGGTACCAATGATTAGAAAAATTTAGCATGGAATAGACATGATTAAAAAGAATAAATTCTATTCTTAAATGAGGGCAAAAAATGAGTTTAATTTCCAATAAAGTATATCGAGCTAAAGCTAGGGCGTCCCCTGGAAGCGAGCCCGAGAACAGTAGGCTAAGGCCACCATTACAAAGAGCGGAGACGGGTAAAAATGCTAGCTCTTCAAAAGCAGCTATCCGAAAGCTCAGAGCACTCCTTACCTACCGTCAACGTCGGAACCCTCCGCGATGCCGAAAATTGGCGGATCTTTTGATTAGACGGCGAGTGGATGAAGCCTGCATAAAGGAAACAAAATGGAAGATTGGAAACATGCGACATTAGAGATGACTATAAGTTCCTCCATAATGGCACAAACAACAGTCGCAATGGAGTAGGTATAGCTGTCTCAGAAAGCCTAAGAAGCAGGATTGCTGAAGCTGACCGATTAAGTGATCGACTTATGAGCATAAAAAACGACACTAGTAGAAAAATCCTCCGAATTCTTGTCAGCGGCCTCGCTCCGCAAACCGAATGCAAGGGGGAAGAAAAAAATGTTCTGCAAGAGCTTGACGATTACACCCATACTACAGAATGAGATATTCCTGCTCGGAGCAGACCTAGCGGTCATGTAGAGGGGGAAGGGAGAAATAAAGGCGATATCGCAGACTGTTCAACATATCGGCCAATCCAGCAGAGAAGCCAATTCGAAAGAGTACTTGAAACACGACTTCGAGCGAACATAGAGTTGCCATCTGATCAATGCGGATTTGCAGAAGTGCCGGTACTGCTGATGCCACCCATAATGTACGGATAGTGAGTATGGAGAAGAGTGTTTCATGCGGCTCTCCTGGATATGGCCAAGATGTTATACGGTGGGCACTGCGAAAGCATATGATTCCAGAGGTATACATTCAATGGATAAGGATGATCTATCGCGAAGTCACGTACCAGGTGCAAACTGCAGCAGGGAGATCAAAACCATTCACCCATAAAGACCGGCGCACATCTGGGATCGGTGCTCCCTCCCCTCTTATCATAACAGTCATGGACGCAGTGACGGGAAGTCTTGAGCGACAGCCTCCATGGGCTCTCCTGTATGCAGACGATGTGGTGTTAATGGCAGAAAACAGAAAATAACTTGAAGAAGAGGTACAGAGGAATGACTATTGAGAGGTCAAACTTCAGAAACCATATATATCGATGAGAAGTTAATGAGGAATTTGTGAATCAAGTTGCATCTCTGGCGAAGGAGGACTCCGAGTTGAGATGTCTGCCAGGACAAACGCATCCTGTATGAAATGCAGAACGTTTACAGGAGTTCTATGCGATAAACGAATGCCAGTGCAACTCAAACCCTAATTATACGGTACTGTGATCCGTCCCACAACGCTTTATGGCAGCGAATGTTGGCCCAGTACGCGTAATGAAGAATACAAGCTTAGTGCCATTAAGATAAGAATGTGCGGTGGACACTGGGTATCACCTTGTTAGAGCATGTCTATAATGACAGTTTGAGCACGAATGAAAGTTGTTCCCAACGTTAAGAAGATGCAGGACAAGCGATTGCGGTGTTACGGGTATGTGAGTAAGATGAGAAGCACATCATAAGAGGGGCAATATCTCTGGATGTCGCTGGAAAAGACCACGGGGAAGGTCAAAGATGAGGTGGATGGACAGAATCAGACTGACCTCAAAGATTAGGATAGACGAGTATCATGCTTTGAATCGAGATACTGGAAACAGACTCGTATAGCAAACCCTGCGTAAGAGAGAAAATGCGAAGATTGCATGAGGGCAATGTGCAAAACATTAATGTGTAAAATTAGAGAGCGTAGTTCACTCTTCAAAACAATTGAACAGGATGAATGCTTAGGAAAACAACAAGTCGGTGAGCTTGATTCGTCATTATTTATTAGTAGAGGAAGTTCATTGCGCTTGGCTTTTTGCAACTTCATGTGATTCACTCGTTTTGAATCATGCCCCAAGTAGCAGCAAATCTGGATTGTCTATTTAATAAAAGCGCAGGAATTTAGCAAATTATTGGATGATGGAAACGAATTTTACTATCTGCGCTTATTGCCTGGTCTTTGTTGATTAAAATGGAAAAGGAATTCGGAGAGTTTTGTTTCAACTAATCACTTTGAAAAACTTAAATATGAGCATGGAAGAAAAATGAACGAAAAAGCTTATTTTTACCAAATTACA